TTTCCCCTCACTCTGACCAATAGTGGCATTCTTAGACTTTCACAGCTACGACTTAAGAGAACTGGCTCCATTGGCTTCTATCTCCTGTGTCCAAGAATGCTCCTTCTTAGAACCCATGCACCATGCTTTAAGGAAATTCAAAGGCCATGTGGAGAGAGGAGGCCTAAAAGCCTTCAGAGCCAGCTGACCTCTCAGCCAGCGGCCAGTCATGTTAGGGTTGCCATTTTGAACATGTCAGCCATGCTGGCACCCCAGACAACATCAGTGAAGCAGAAAACCCATCACTGGACCATAGATTTGAGAAAAATAATAACTTGGTTTTTTAAAGCTACTAAATTTTGGGGTGGTTTGTTACACAGCAAGTTACCTTTTATACTGTTTCCTTATCTATCAATTATATTAAAAATTCCCTTTTTAAAAAATATGTTTTTATTGATTTTTAGGGAGAGAGGAAGGGAGAGGGATAGAGAAATAAAAACATCGACGAGAAACAACATCTATCGGTTGCCTCCTGCAAGCCCCCTTCTCGGGTCTGAGCCCAAAACCCAGGCATGTGCCCTAACCAGGAATCGAACCGTGACCTCTTGGTTCCTGGGTCAATGCTCAACCACTTGGCCACACCAGCCAGGCCTAAAATTTCTTTTCTATGTCCTAAAATTATGTCATCCAAGTTTCAAATGTTTCTCCAGTTCTAAGATTCTGGAACTAGCTTGTCCTATCCATTTCCTTAAATAAACTTAAAATTCATCCCTCAACTTAAAATATATCCTTAAGCCCACATATATATATATATATACCTTATAAAATGGTGCTGACCTTGGCCAGGTAGCTCAGTTGGTTAGAGTGCCATTCCCATACGCCAAGGTTATGGGTTTGATCTCCAGTCAGGGCACATACAAGAAGCAACTAATGAATGCATAAATAATTGGAATAAATCAATGTTTCTCTCAAATCGATAAAATAAAAATAATAAAATAATAAAATAAAATAAATAATAAAATAAAATAAAATAATAAAATGGTGCCTACATTCCCTCAATCATTTCCATTTCTCTTCTGAGGTCATCTTCCAGTTCCCATTTATCTTTTCTGAGAAATTATAATTTTGTTGACCAAGGAAGTATTAGGAAAGATCCTTGAGGACCTGCTAACACTGAATGAGATATATTAGCATACAGATGTTATTTAAACTACCGCTTTAATATAATTGGTTTCTAGAAGTTAAACTATTCTCCACAAATATCCAAGGGTAAACTTTAAGTCTAGACCATGTGTGAATTATGATCAATTCTGGATTAGCAGTCTCGTTAATAAGACTTTATTGTAGAATTCCTAACTGAAGCACTACATTAACGTGGTAATGAGCAAATTTCCTAAAAGAGAATATCCATTTCATGTTGGCATTTTAAACGAATTACATTTTCTTAAACTATGGAAATCAGGACATCCATATAATAATTGTCACTCATAATTTACAATTGAGGAAAGGGTAAGGCCAAAACAAAGACAAATACTACACAAAACTTTCAATTTGATTTAAAAGATAGCCTTTCCATGTATACTGTGTACTAGTTATTTGGTGCAAACACAAATATGAAATATCTTCCTATCTCAAAATTGACTCTTGAGTAGGGGAGAGGGAGAGTGGGAAGAGATTAACCAAAGAACTTATATGCATATATGCATAGCCCTGGACACAGACAACAGAGAGGCAAAGCCTGGGGTGGGGCTGGAGTCAGGTGGAATAGAGCAAAGGGGGGGAAATGGGAGACATCTGTAATTCTCTCAACAATAAAAGTAAATTTTTAAAAAATTGACTCTGAGTAAACAGGCATGTTATAGCAGGGTAAGTGGAACCACAGGGAAGTTGTGATTTACTCACATTCATAATAAGACTGTGACTGAGTTGAAAAAAAAATACCAAGTCTCTAACCCTCCATTCTTTGCTTCAGTTATTAAAGGGCCATTCTTGGTGACCCCCTCCCAGTTGGCCTTTTGCAAATAGCCACAATTGCAGGCAAAGTCAAAAATGAAAGTAACTAAAATTAAAGAAAAAACTGGCTTCTCCCTATAGTAACTGACTCAACATCTAATAATGTGTGATGCTCTAAAAGCTGTGCAAACTACTACATGGCCATCTCCAGGTTCACTTTAACTCAATCAGGAGACCATTATCAAAACGTAACTCACTGGTACAAAGCAGAGATCAAGTAGTTGAAAATGTTCCCAGGCTGAGGTCTGATGGGGAGTAAAGAAGATGATCTCATAATGTCTCTTTATGATCTGTAAATCACACTATTCCATAAATCTGACACAAGTGTCAAGATTAGGATTAAGTCAACTTCTAAGTAGGAAAACAAAAATAAGCAGCTGCCACTTCTTTTAAATCTAGAAGCTCACTGTAAATATAAAGGGCCTTCCTCTTACTCTAAAGTCCAAAAAATTTTCAAAGTCTTGTCTTAGTATTTCAGAATTTCAACATTGGGAAGAAATTCAAGAATCTTCTTCAAAATGGAATTTTGTTAATGATACACTCAAACTTTAGTTAAGTGTTTTTAAAAGCACTAATACAAAATGAATAAAGTTTTAGTAAATTTGACCAGACTCTGAAAATGTATTCTTGTAAATAGGGCCATTTAAAGCCTAAATTCAATTAGATTAGTGTCTGTGTTTATTTAGATTTGTTTTGGTATTTCAGGCAGACACAAAACAAGAAATAACAAAGAAATAAAATTTGGAGTGACAGGTTACAATTACCTCTGAAAAGCAAGACTGGACTGCAAATAATGTCAGTGTCCCTAAGGCCACCTGTTAAGATGGAAGTCTATGCAACCCATCACTCTTTAGCTGTAACCACAAAGTCTGGTTTTACACCTAGGATATACAAGAAGCATCAGATTAAAAGCATCAAGTATCAGACTATACCAAATTGCCAAACAGAAACAGAAGACAAGCATGATACAGAGTTAACAAAGTTCCAAAGGATTTAAACACACCCACAAAATTCAATCCAAGCCCATACAGTGCTTCAACCTAAAACTGGTAAGTAACCACCAATCCTGACATCTCCCATTACCTACATTCCCCCTTTTATCTCCTGAATTTCTCCACTGATCTCATCACTTCTTATGGCTCTTGTGATTCTAATCTCCATGGCTTTTCCTTTCCCAGAAAGTGATACAGTACCTGGCCCCTACATTTCACTATCTCTACAACTTAGCACTGCCCTGACCGGTGTGGCTCAGTTGATTGGGCATCATCCCGTGAGCCAAAAGGTTGCCGGTTCGATTCCCAGTAGGGGCACATGCCCAGGTTTCAGGACTGTTTTTCTCTCTCTCTCTCCCTCTCCCTTCCTCTCTCTCTACAAATTAGCACTAACTTTTGTTTTGTTGTACCCTATTAGATATTAATTCTGTCCCCAATCTCATGTACCAGGTTTTCCTGACCAGTTCAACCTCGTCCTTACTACAATATCTGGCCTCTCCTTTCAAAGTGGAGTATGTATCCCCTTTTCTGACATTTGTAATTCTGGCTCATAGTCAACACCCTCTTCCTTTCCCAGAGGCTGTCACCATAACCCTAGGTCCCCATCCCCAGTCCATACCTTCCCAAGTAAGGCCTCTTTCTTTACAGAGTTAGTCAACATTAGTTTGGCCAAGCTGGGAATTTACCCTGAAGGCAAAGGCTATCTCCATCCCCCTCATTCTACAAAACTACAAGTCTCCCACCAGCCCTGGCTTTCCTCCACCCTTAGATCCATCTGCATCCAGCCCTGCCGGTCCCCCTCCCCTCTAACATCTTTCCTCTCACTATCCCGTGCTCCCTTCCTCACTCCTGAATGCACCTCTTCTCCCCGGCCTTACCCGTAACCCTGACCTGGGAAGGCCCTGCCAGCGGCCTCACCGCGTCTCTCCTCCGGGCTTCCTCCGCTCCTCAGTAACTGTCCCCACGCCCCTTTCCCTCCAGGGCCCCGCGCGCCGCCCAGAGCCCCCTCCCTGATTAAGCTCCCGCTGTCACTGGGTCTCCCATCCACAAGATGGCGGAGCTGCTGCCCCCACCCCCGGGTCTTC